CTTGCTCCTTCCCAATACTCTGGCAGCTGAGCTGGTAAGAGCCAGTAGCATGTCAGTACTGGCAAGAGCCACTAGCAGATTACTGGTAGCAAAGAAGGAATCATACTTCTCCAAAGCACAATTCATTCTTTGGGGCGCTCTTGAATTGGTGATCCCAGGACTGGAAAGCATGCCTGACTGAGAGAATTAAGGAGCTCAGTCTACTAGCTTATTGAAAAGAAAGGTAAGAAGTGACTTGATCATGGTAGTGATCAACGGCTCAATGTCTAGTTGGCAGCCGGTACCAAGCAGAGTGCCCCAGGGGTTGGTCCTGGGGCAGTTTTGTTCAACATCTTTATTAATGATCTGGATGATGGGATGAATTGCACCCTCAGCAAGTTCGCAGATGACACTAAGCTGGGGGGAGAGGTAGATATGCTGGAGGGTAGGGATAGGGTCCAGAGTGACCTAGACAAATTGGAAGATTGGGCCAAAAGAAATCTGATGAGGTTCAACAAGAACAAGTGCAGAGTCCTGCACTTAGGACAGAAGAATCCCATGCACTGCTACAGGCTGGGGACCGACTGGCTAAGCAGCAGTTCTGCAGAAAAGGACCTGGGGATTACAGTGGACGAGAAGCTGGATATGAGTCAGCAGTGAGCCCTGGTTGCCAAGAAGGCCAATGACATATTAGGCTGTATTAGTAGAAGCACTGCCAGCTGATCGAGGGAAGTGATTATTCCCCTCTATTCGGCACTGGTGACGCCACCCCTGGAGCATTGTGTCCAGTTTTGGTGGACAAATTGGAGAGAGTCCAGCAGAGGGCAACGAAAATTATTAGGGGGCTGGGGCACCTGACTTATGAGGAGAGGCTGAGGGAACTGGGGTTATTTAGTCTGCAGAAGAGAAGAGTGAGGGGGGATTTGATAGCAGCCTTCAACTACCTGAAAGGCGATTCCAAAGATGATGGAGCGAGGCTGTTCTCAGTGGTGGCAGATGGTAGAACAAGAAGCAATAGTCTAAAGTTGCAGTGGGGGAGGTCTAGGTTAGATATTAGGAAACACTATTTTACTAGGAGGGTGGTAAAGCACTGGAATGGTTACCTAAGGAGGTGGTGGAATCTCCATCCTTAGAGGTTTTTAAGGCCTGGCTTGACAAAGCCCTGGCTGGGATCATTTAGTTGGGGTTGGTCCTGCTTTGAGCAGCGGGTTGGACTAGATGACCTCCTGAGGTCTCTTCCAACCCTAATATTTTATGATTCTATGGTGTATAATTACCTACATAGAGAGAATGTATCTGATACTATAGGGCTCTTAAGGCTAGCAGATAAATAGCTGGAAGTAGGATAAACTTAAACTGGAAATAAGTTGCAATTGTTTAACAGTAATGGTAATTAACTATTGGAACAATTTACCAAGGGATGTGGTAGATTGTTACTTGAATACTTTACATCAAGAGTGGATGTCCTCCTAAAAACTATCCTGTAGTTCAGCCACAAATTACTGGATTTGATGGAGGAATTGCTTGGTGAGATTCTATGGCCTGTGTTAAACAGCAGGTCAGACTAGATGATCCCAAAAGTACCCTCTGGCTTTAAAATCCACTGGCCAGATTTTAAACTATACTAAGGCCCTGTTACATCACTCTAGCAGTGTAAATGAGCCTTAGTGTGATTTAAAATCTGCTTTATTTAATATGTGCCAGTACAATCTAGCTCTTAGTTTCAAAACACCCTTGTGAAACAGGTAAATATTATCTCATGTTACAGGTGAAGAAACTGAGACACAGAAGAGTTAAATGACTTGTCTATAGACACACAGGAAGTCAGTAGGTGTGCTGGGAGTAGAACCCAGATCGCCTAATTCCTAGACTCGTGCCC